CATTTTACACTGCAAATCACCAAAACTATTTCCAGTAAACAGCTTTTCCTTGTGTTCCATTTTAATTTAATCTAATAAACAGATACAATTTAAAAGAAAATTAAATACAGAAAAAATATATTCTTGCACAGAAGCTTCCTCATAGATCCCAAACCAGATGTGGAGGTTATTTTTGAGACTATTGTTTGCTGGGCTGTTACTTCTTCAGACTTCAGTTTCAATTATGAGTATGTCCTTCTTTCCTTTTCTCTGTTAGGTTGCAATTTAATATTTTATTTTTTAGATTTCTTCAGACTCTTATATTGTGCAAAAGTCTTGAATGACCCCAAATTTCTCTATATTTTGCTACATGGAGGCCAGAACTTCACCTAGTTTCTTTAGGTGCTGTCCAGGCTTTATGAAGGCATTTCAAAGTCATTTTTTGGACAGTGGCTACTTGTCCAAGATTTTTAGTAGATCACACATTGCAAACTCAGCATTTTATCTAGCAGCTTCCTCGGTAGCTAGTAAAGTAAGAACACAACGTAGTTTGTAACTCACCTGTTCCATAAGTCATCATCCTCTCCACCCCAACCCCAAAATGCATTGGGAAAACCATTAATCTTCCAGAACTGATCCACAGTGAGCCCACTCACACCACCAAAGAACTCACTATATGGAAGACTGAAAACAACAAAAGAACACATGTTTAATAAAAATCTGAAACGTTCTAGTTGGTTAATAATTCCAGGTCTGTTGCAATTAAATTATTATCCTACCAGTCTGGTAAATTTTCCACATACTCACATGTACATGTATTTGTCCAGCTTGGCAGCAAAGTGGCGTGGCATCTGACCACAACCATAGTAGTTTCTGTCATTTTCAGGGATATGGTCAACATCATGGAAAATCAAGCAGTCCCAGTCCAAGTCCTTCATAGCTTCCATGAATCCCACATTAAATAACATGGCTCTGTTGAATGGCTGGCTTCCACTCTAAAAAGTACACATTTCTGGTGAGCATGGTGCAGTTTTTTATTTTTTGCCAATAACAATTCAGTTTAGTAAACTACATTAGCACTTATTTAAAGCAAGCAGACTGAATTGCAAATGAGATCTGAAACAATGCAATTAGCAAATTGCATAGCTCACAGTAAAACAATAACTTTAACATATGAACTAGGCAAAAAAACACTATCAGTCCTAACTATATGTAACTTTTGCACTACATCAGACAAGTTATTGCAGACAGTACATTTGGTTTTTTAACAGATATAAACGTAACAACTGATTATTGTCATCTCACTTGTACTCAATCTATTATGAGGATGGATGCATGGATTTTAGCAGTATTTATAATAGTTGGGGGGGGGGGGGG